ATTTCTTTCCTTTGACTTTTTTCGTTTTTAAAACTTCTTCTATCTTCCAGACCGTGTTTTTTTTCTTTATTTACTCTCTACAATGCTTGACCTTAGAAAGAACCATGTATTTGCTCGTTGTCGAAGTCTTTGACTTTATACACGGACATATTTCCTCGGTAATACATGTAAGACTACGAATATCTCTTCGGTCCACTTCTGTTGCCATCAACAACAAAACTGGCGTTTTTTATAACTCAATCTCACCTGATCGCCTTTCTTAAATTTGTTCGCCATTTTCTTCAAATGCCTGTCATCCTTTCTTCCGATAAAAAAGAGATGCTGGGTGTCTTCGTTTACGTCCTTGAGAGCCAAACCGAGCAGCTTGGAATGTTTTCTATCGTTTTAGCTTTGAATGAGATCCGGTAACACGTCGGTGAACCTGTATGTCTGATTCGAGTGGAAGTACCTATACATGATAATTTTCAAGTTACCTATTAAAGATTCGGCAAAAGCTGCTTTGTGAGCACTTGTGACTCGCTATGTGTATGACGCCTATGGATTTACAATAGCGTTTAATCGAGTCGTTCAGAAACTCCTTTCTTTGGTACGATCTGACGAGATCTGATGTTCTTTCGGTAAATATTTATTTGAAAGCTTCAAAAGTGGCGTTGGTTTTCTTGCTTTAAGAAGTTGTTATGCTCCTTGATGTTAGACAGGTCGGCCAAATCTGCATCCCACATGTAGTCAGCGCCAATTAAAGGAGTGCTTACTCAAGGGGTCTTGTTTCTCACTTGTCTTCGAACGTTATTGTGATCTTGGCTTTGTAGCCAATCGACGATCTGTGATTGATTGATCTTATATTTGCCTTCATTTCCCCCTCAAACACTCTGGAAGGACCTGTAAAACCTAAAACGAACTTGGGGTCACACTATATCGTCCTTAGATAATCTTCTAGTTTTATGGACAACATTTTCCCCCTGCGATTGACAAAAACTTTCTCTTTATACATTTTTCTGTGCTACTAACATTTAATTTTTTTTAGAAATGTTCCAATAATCATTCTTCTTCTGAATACTCATTATCGCAAATATCCAGTCTTTTCTTTTTCGCAATGTCCAATGTCGCATAGCAGAATTGACGCATATTTCCTCTGAATATGTTTTTCCCTTCTTGCTCAGTATAACCATCATAAGAATATCGCTGAATCCTGGAAAAGTTCAATTACACTTTTTGAGGCCAAAAATATTTTTTAACATTAATTTTTTGCAAATAAGAAATTTAAGATGTTAATATTTTTGTATGTCAAAAATTTAAAAAAAATAACTGTTTTTGTCAGTAATATTTTGTCAATAAAAACAGTAAAAACTGAGATTTTGCATTGAAATACCAGCAGTAAACAAAAGCAATACAGCAGAAAAAGATGGAGTCTTTTATCGTCATGACACATTTGGGAAAAAATTAAAATGTCATTTTGTAAGTGGATAATGTGTATTTTTCAAATAGAAAATGTGTCAGTTTCAAGAAATGTGATAGTTCTTTGCTGTTTTGTTAGTAAAATAGTAATAGTAATAAAAAAAAACTGTAAAAACAAGCAAATTCGTGGAATTTATATCCTCCGCTTTCCAAACATATTGTAAGTAAATATTTTAGTGGTTCGGAGTAAACATGTCATAATGCTATGTAGAATGATATATTCTCTTGAGCTATGATGTATTGCTTTAAAGCCAAAGAAAGATGTAAAGGATTATAGAGAGTAGATGTTTTATTGGACATATCAAATATTAACAAACAAAGTGAACTAAATGAAGAAAACTTGCATACTAGTAACTATAATGGTGCTAAGCAGATCCATGGTCATCAGCAGGTATAGCAGTCCATGCAATATGATGATCAGTATAGGGGACTGGAAATGAATATCCTTGAGTGTCTAGAGCACGAAAATGAATCGACCAATGAAATCAAAGGATACCTCATTACTATGCATGATTATTAACAGATGACACTGATAGTCAAACTCAGTCTTCATGACCCCAAGATGCATCTGCTGACCAAGTGTCACCCAAATTGGATGATATTTGGGGAAGTTAGAACACGGAAACGAAAGTGTGACAGACAGACGGACGGACGGACAAACCCAAAATGGATCCCCCGTTTGGGTGAAAGCGGCGGATAATTATTATTTTCATAACAACATACACGCCAATATAACAACATACACATCAAAATACAAACATACACGCAAATATAACAACATACAGGGCAATATAACAACATACACGGCAATATAACAACATACAGGACAATATAACAACATACACGCCAATATAACAACATAAACGCCAATATAACAACATACACGGCAATATAACAACATACACGGCAATATCACAACATACACGCCAATTTAACAACATACACGGCAATATAACAACATACACATCAATATAACAACATACACGGCAATATAACAACATACACGGCAATATAACAACATACACATCAATATAACATCATACACATCAATATAACAACATACACGGCAATATAACAACATACACATCAATATAACAACATACACATCAATATAACAACATACACGCCAATACACGGCAATATAACAACATACAGGACAATATAACAACATACACATCAATATAACAACATACAAGCCAATATAACAACATACAAGCCAATATAGCAACATACAGGGCAACATAACAACATACACGCCAATATAACAACATACGCGGCAATATAACAGCATAAACGCCAACATAACAACATACACGGTAATATAAGAACATGCACATCAATATAACAACGTACACGGCAATATAACAACATACATGCCAATATAACAACATACACGCTAATACACGGCAATATAACAACATACACGGCAATATAACAACAAACACGGCAATATAACAACATACACGCCAATATAACAACAGACACCCCAATATAACAACATACGCAGCAATATAACAACATACACGCCAATATAACAACATATACGCCAATACACGCCAATATAACAACAAACACGCCAATATAACATCATACACGCCAATACACATCAATATAACAACATACACATCAATATAACAACATACACGCCAATATAACAACATACACATCAATATAACAACATACACATCAATATAACAACATACACATCAATATAACAACATACACGGCAATATAACAACATACACATCAATATAACAACATACACATCAATATAACAACATACACATCAATATAACAACATACACGGCAATATAACAACATACACATCAATATAACAACATACACATCAATATAACAACATACACATCAATATAACAACATACACATCAATATAACAACATACACGCCAATATAACAACATACACATCAATATAACAACATACACATCAATATAACAACATACACATCAATATAACAACATACACGGCAATATAACAACATACACATCAATATAACAACATACACATCAATATAACAACATACACGCCAATATAACAACATACACGCCGATATAACAACATACACATCAATATAACAACATACACGGCAATATAACAACATACACGCCAATATAACAACATACACGCCAATATAACAACATACACGCCGATATAACAACATACACATCAATATAACAACATACACATCAATATAACAACATACACGCCAATATAACAACATACGCGGCAATATAAAAACATACACGCCAATATAACAACATACGCGGCAATATAACAACATACACGCCAACATAACAACATACACGGCAATATAACAACATACACGGCAATATAACAACATACACGCCAATATAACAACATACACGGCAATATAAAAACATCCACGCCAATATAACAACATACACGGCAATATAACAACATACACGGCATTATAACAACATACACGGCGATATAAAAACATCCACGCCAATATAACAACATACACGCCAACATAACAGCATACACGGTAATATAACAACATACACGGCAATATAACAACATACACGGCAATATAGACTTTGTCAAACCAATTCCTCGATTTTATTTTATTTATTTATGTTTTTTTTTTTCATTTTGAAGGATGTTTTAAAAGCGTGGAAAAATCTCATTCTGATTTTAAGAAAGTAATTAGACAAGAAGAAAGGTATAACAAAGTTTCTTTTAGAAATAAATAATCCTATTTTATTCCCAATTGGTTTAAGGCTAGTGTAAGCACAGTAACATTTAACTTTTCCGTTTGAGGAATTTGTAAAAATCTTAACACCAACTTCCTTCAATACCATGGGTTGTACTGACAAAGGAACGAGAAATCGTGTTAATTTTGAAAACCCATCAACAATTTCATTACTTACAGAGATATTTTTAACATCAGAAAGGGCTCGGTAGATTTCTATACTTGTGTTATTACTCCAGGATCAACTGAATCAAGAGTATGAGTTTGATCAGGATCGAAAAGTGGAAAATAGACAATTAACGACTTTCAGTGACTAAAAAATCTTAGCAACGAACGTTTCAGATTAGAATTATACACCATGTTATTGGTACCTGACATATTTATTTATAAAATAAAGCTATGTTAAACATCTGTGTATATAAAAGTGTAAAATAATTCTTATAATGTATCATATCTAAAAAAAATATGTCTCATTAAGTAATTAGAACTTAATTGACTCATTAACACTACCGAAATCACTTATTGAATCAATTTAAAGGTAAGATTGAATTCTGGTGGCGAAGAAACCTAATTTAGAACGTTTTGTTACAGATAAAAATTAAAGATTATTTGGCAGCAAGTATTAAATAATATGCTAATATTTTCTTGTCGGAAGTATTGTCCTGTTTCCGGCTTTAAAGTTATAATGAAAAATTGACTACGTTATCACAGTGTTTAAAACGAACGTTTAGTGACGAGGACATTATGAGCTTTAGCTTGACCCAGAAAACTCGGCGCGAAAAGAGAAGTGAATGCAGATCTACAGCTGAATAAGTTTCCTAAAATCAAGATGACGGTACTACGTCTGTTTTGGTAAATTCACAACGCGGGGTGGATTGTGGTTGGTCCTTGAAAGGAAATATTCTCTATCTCAATACAGGTACGTGTAATAGATCATATGAACTGTATAAACAGGGTGGGCTCAACCCCGTAAATCTGTAATAGTCGTGTATTTGAAGGATACAATTTGTTAACCAATGCAAATGCAAACAGAAGTATATATACAGTTCTTCTAGACATCTGAATAAAAAATGGGTATCATTTTTCGACTTGGTGCAACAACCAATGTAACATTGTAAATTTTTACAGAAAAACTGAATAACTTTGGATAAAGATTATTCTTTTTATTAGCATTTATTAGCATAAATAATGGACGCAGGTTTAAAGCCTCTATGTCCATATCAAATATTACATATTGTATAGTAATTACATAGTAATTCCCGTGTACTGGCTTATATCTGAGTTAATTGATGTACAATGATGTATCAAAACGGTTATTTTTCCAATGTTCATCTAACATTATTTCAAATTTTATTACAGAGTCCACATTTATTACTGATTGTGGTAAACTATTCCACAAATCCACCACTCGGTAACTGAAAAAGTGCTTTTTAATATCAAGACGGCATCGTTTTTTGAATATTTTCTTGTTATGACCTCTAGTTCTACTTGTACTGTCCATTTCATATTCTTCTCTCCATTGGTAAAAAATCATGCAAATTCATGCTCACCTGAATATGTATATTTGCACTAAATGCTGCTGTTCACTTTATATACTAATATATATTGTCTATGGAGAAGAAAGTCGGTGATGCAAGTTGCCATTTTAGCTGAAGAGAGGTAACGGAAATTAATATACTGTGTGAGAATATATTCAGTGTCACATTAGGTATAATCCTGCATTTTGATAACTAATTGATTACTCAAAGCTGTAACTTTCCCTCAAATGCAGGACTTTACCCAAGTGCGAGATTACACACAGTACCCCAACCTGATGAACGTGTTACAATTGTGAACAATCAAGCTATAAGGAATACACACACTTCTGTAAAATGCCCTGATCATGATCAGGAATATCCAGCCTGGGTCTTTAATGTAACCCATGACTAATTTTAAGATCAAATTCTGGGGTCATAGTGGTGTCTTCATGATATCTTCTGATTATTTCCATAATTATTTGTGTGGTAACTATATCAATTTTGTTGACACAATCATTTTGATTGAATAAGATCAGGTTTGTGAAGTGATCCATCAAGTGCAAGAAATGTATCATCACATTGACATCAGCGAATTGAGATCTAAATAATTTCAAAGTTATTTTCCTTTATTCCATTGATTTGATTACTGTACCTTGAATGAATGAATAAGACTTTGACTCAAAAAATAAAAATGTGGAAGGTGATTGGAGCAACTTGACGAGAAGTTTTCATTTTAAGAAGTGTTCCTCCCTATGGATAATACTGAACATTTTGTTATATAATTTTAAGATACAGAGTCAAATTTGTTTACGATGTAATTGATATGTATATCTATTATAAACTTGAATGAAAAGGTTCGCATTGTTGGAAAGAGTTGTTATCTTTCACATATAACACTGCCATTTGTTTCTTACAGACAGCAAATCACAAATAGAATGGTTGAATATGTATTGTTTCAGGGGCATGTTTCTCTTTATGATGTATAACTCCTGGTGAAGAAAATGATTTCCCAGATACAGGTGGAGTCTTGGATGTTGATTCATGCCTGCAAATACAGATATCATGGTGTTATACAAGGTAAAGTGTGACATTATTCTTGTATGTACATCTATCATTTATATAGGAAGAATATGTCAAAGACGAAAGTTGAGTAAAATAATGAAGCTGAAAAAAGTATGAGGTTGGTAACACTTGTTTAAAGTATTTGTTTGAACTATTGAAAATGTTGATAATTACAGGTATTTTACGCCGACATCATGACAACATTGAACATCTTGATGTCCCAAATATCTACTTATCCATTCCTATGATTTACAACATCATAATGACAGATGATGTCCTACGCTACCCTGTAGTTGTCAATCACCTAGATTTCATTGACGTTGAAGTTCCTCATGCAGTTCCTTTCAAACTGTACAGCAAACTCAGCATAGGTCTCAAGATGAAGGTAGTTATAGCAATAATGTGTACTGTTAAGTGATAACAATAATGTGTACTGTTAAGTATTAAGAATAATCATGTACTGTTATTCATATTTCATCTTGTATGACCTTGGCTGTTGCCAGGTTGTAAAAGTTTGAAATTTTGTTGAACTTTTTGAATGGTGAACATAAGAAATCTTAAAACTTGTACAGTGTAAAGTACTATGAAGGAGTTCAAGTGTTTATGTCATGTTATATTATATAAGATAATATATTCTATGTAATAGTAATATCACACTGAATATCTTTTCTGCGGTCAATGTTATCACATAATAGCAGTATAATATCTGTCATTTTCTACCTCCAGTGGGCTATGATGTTACTGAAGGAGAACCATAATGATACCCTGATGTTGTTAAACAAGTACTTCCCTCGTAAAGGCAGTCAATATGAGCATGCGGTAAGGAAATAATTCAGTTATAACTTATTGTTTATCCTTTACTAATGGTCAGTCTGCCCATGATTTTTCTAGCCCACTCATCAGATGGTGGGCTATCCAAGTCGCTGTCGTCCGTCCATCTGTCCGCAAAAACAATTTTTGTTATCATAATGTCTTGAGAGGTACTGGATGGATCTTTCTCAAATTGCATATGTAGGTTCCCTTTGGTCCTTAGTTGTGCCCGTTTGAATTTGGGATTGATCCAAAAAATAAAACAGTTGACAGGGAGCCATCTTGGATTTTTTCAATGAAGTCTGTTATAGCTTTTTCTTGAAAAGAAAGAGATGGACCTCTCTCAAATTTCATATGTAGGTTTCGCTTGGTCTCTGTTTCTGTATCGCTATTTCTTGAGAACTACTATTTATATCTTTTTTAAATTTCATGAATAGGTTCCTTTTGGTCCCTTGTTGTGGCCATCTTGTTTTGGTACTGATTGGAAAAACAAAATGGCGGAAACATGGCCATCTTGAATTTTGACCTTGAAAGTTTGTTATCGATTTTTCTTGAGAAGTCCTGTATGGATCTTACAAAAATTTCATTTGTAGGTTTCCCTCGGTCCCTAATTAAGCCAATTTGATTTTGGCACTAATCAGCAAAGCAAAATGGCCAACAGATGGACATCTGAGATTTTGTCTTTAAAAAGTTTGTTATCGCTATTTCTTGAGAACTACAGCAGAGGTCTTTGTCAAATTTTGTGTATATGCTTTCAGTGATCCCTAGTTGTGCCTGTTTGATTTTGATACTGATCAGATAAAATCAAATGGCCCACAATCGGCCATCTACGATTTTTCATTTCAAAAGTTCGTTATCAATATTTCTTGAGAGCTACTCTAAGAGATCTTTTCATGTATAGGTCCTTTTAGGTCCCTAGTTGTGTCTGTTTGATTTTATCACTAACCAGAAAGAGAAATTGACCAAACAGACAGTCATTTTAGATTTTGCTTAGTAAAAATTATTATTGCTATTTCTTAGGAAGTACTGATTGGATATCTCTCAAATTTCATACATATGTACCCTTTGGTCTCTCAAAGGGCCATGTAAGCTTACACTATGGCACAGGGTCCAGCATCCAGTTTCCATTTAAACAATCTCCTTTCAATAACCATTGGACCAAATGTTATGAAATTTTGGCAAGTATGATCCTAGGATGAGGCCCAACTAAGTGTGAGGAAAGAAATGACCTTGAGTAATATTCAAGGTCACAGGGGTCAGATTAGTTAAAACCTTTAAATGACTTTTTCTCATGAACTAAAATCCTAGTGGCATGATATATGCTGGTATGTTCCTATTGTGAAACTTGACAAAGTTTGCTAAAATACATTACCATAACCTATATTTTTAAGATCATGGGTCAAATTTGTTAAAACATTTAAATGACTTCTTTTCATGAACTATTAAAAGGCCTGGAAGCATGATATTTGGCTGGTATGTTCCTAGGATGAAGCCCAAGAAAGTTTGCAGAAGAAATGACCTTGACCTATTATTAAGGTCACAGGGGTCAAATTCGTGAAAACTTTTACACAACTTTTTCTGAATAACCAAAAGATACAGAAGTATGGTTTTTGGAATATAGATTCCTAATGTGAAGCCAGCAAAATTTGCGAAAAGAAATTACCTTGACCCATATTCAAGATCTCAAGGCAGGGCTCTCACACCCCATTTTAGGACTGGGGCCCGGGGCCCTTAGAACTGGGAAAAATAGTGGCGTTTTCCTTAGAATTGGGAAACTTGGGGTCTAAATTGGGAAAAAAAGATACTATTTTGCATTGGGAATATCGGCCCCAAATCTGGCAGATCGAGAGCCCTGCAAGGGTTAAATCTGTTAAGACTTCTTCTAACCAATCAATGCAAAAGCATGGTATTTAGCTTACGGGTGTCTTTGATGAATCCGGATAAGGTTGACAAATTAAATTACATTGACCCTTGTGAAAGCTCACAGGGATCAAATTTGTTAAAACATTAAAACATCTTCTGACTACGATGAAGTTTGACAAGATTTCCTAGGATGAAGCTTGACAAGGTTTTCCAGGATGAAGCTTGACAAGGTTTGCCTGTAAAAGATTTCTTCTGTTAAACCAAATGTCGGAGAAGCATGATATTTGGAAAGGTTTTTCTCGGTCAAAGTCCAACAGATTTTGAGAAAAAAAGATCTGTCACTGTTTAGAGGTGGGTGTAAGAAGCTCTATGTTGTTGAAAGTTGTTAAAATTGATTGGATGTGCCTGCTTTGAATGTCAATGGTGTATAGGTAGAAATATTAATGTTATGATTACCAAATCTATTTTTGATGAAAATGAAATCAAAGGTGAGCGGTGCAGGCCCAAATTAGTTTCTGTACATTATACTTTGGTTTGGTATTAAGAAAGGCCAAAGGGTAGTTGGGTGACACAGTGGTAACACACTCGCCTTTCACCTAGCCGGTCCGGGGTTCGATTCCTGGAATGGATGTGTAAAGGAATGAGGTTACCTGCCCGACCTCGTGGGTTTTCCCCGGGTACTCCGGTTTCCTCCCACAGTAAGACCCCTCACACGCTTCCGTCTGAGCCAATAAGAGTGATTTATATAAGTTGGAAAAACTTGCTTTGCAATTGTTGTAAAATAAATAAAGTTTATAATTATTAAAGGCCAACAACCATCTTGATATTTTGCTTTGTTTATAACGAAAGGCCAAAACAATAGATATCACACTGTTTTCACCATCATAAGACATTTATTCATTTTCTCTACTCAGACTCCAAAGGAATTATCCAGTTTGCACTCCGTACAGAAGAATTTCCGCAAGTTTTTTCTCCCACTGTTAGCACATCAGAACCAGAGAGAGGCTTACTTTCAGAATGAGTTTGAAGAAGAATATGGAAAGCACTTCCAGGAAGCACTGCAGCAACTGGCTGTCTTGTTTGTGGAGAAACTGACATCTCACTTACCACAAACAACTATAGAGAAGGTAGATAGATGTCAGATTGTCATACATTGATAGCTACAATATTTGACAAAAATGAAACTGGCAGAACAAAGTTTTGTGGAACAACTCACTATTATGTTACATAAAAGTGAAATAATATATTAAACATAAGAAAATTCATTGCCTTTCTAGACTTTCTAGAAATTGTGCCTCTAGATTTAGGATTTGCACATAATGTGGTTATCATGTTCACGGTCAAATTATCATAGTCCAGGCCTGATTATCATGGTCACAGTCAGATTACCATAGTCCAGGCCTGATTATCATGGTCACGGTCAGATTATCATAGACCAGGCCTGATTATCATGGTCCTTGCCTGGTTATCCTAGACCAGGCCTGATTATCATAGTCCTTGCCTGGTTACTAAAGTCTCTGTCTGGTTATCCTAGACCAGGCCTGATTATCATAGCTCTTGCCTGGATACTACAGTCTATGTCTGGTTATCCTATCCTAGACCAGGCCTGATTATCATAGCTCTTGCCTGGTTACTAAAGTCTATGTCTGGTTATCCTAGACCAGGCCTGGTTATCATAGTCCTTGCCTGGTTACTAAAGTCTATGTCTGGTTATCCTAGACCAGGCCTGATTATCAGTCCTTGCCTGGATACTACAGTCTATGTCTGGTTATCCTAGTCCAGACCTTGTTGTCATAGTCCAGACCTGGTTATCATAGTCCAGGCCTGATTATCATGGTCACGGTCAACTTATCCTAGACCAGGCCTGATTATCATAGTCCTTGCCTGGTTACTAAAGTCTATGTCTGGTTATCCTAGACCAGGCCTGATTATCAGTCCTTGCCTGGATACTACAGTCTATGTCTGGTTATCCTAGTCCAGACCTTGTTGTCATAGTCCAGACCTGGTTATCATAGTCCAGGCCTGATTATCATGGTCACGGTCAACTTATCCTAGACCAGGCCTGATTATCATAGTCCTTGCCTGGTTACTAAAGTCTATGTCTGGTTATCCTGGACCAGGCCTGATTATCAGTCCTTGCCTGGATACTACAGTCTATGTCTGGTTATCCTAGTCCAGACCTTGTTGTCATAGTCCAGACCTGGTTATCATAGTCCAGGCCTGATTATCATGGTCACGGTCAACTTATCCTAGACCAGGCCTGATTATCATAGTCCTTGCCTGGTTACTAAAGTCTATGTCTGGTTATCCTAGACCAGGCCTGATTATCAGTCCTTGCCTGGATACTACAGTCTATGTCTGGTTATCCTAGACCAGACCTGGTCATCATAGACTAGGTTTGATTTTCATGGTCCTTGCCTGGTTACTACAGTCTATGTTTGGTTATCATAGTTCAGCCCTTGTTATCGCAGACCAGACCTTGTTGTCATAGTCCAGACCTGGTTATCATAGTCCAGGCCTGATTATCATGGTCAAGGTCAACTTATCATAGACCAGACTTGATATCATGGTCCTTGCCTGGTTACTACAGTCTATGTTCGGTTATCATAGTTCAGCCCTTGTTATCGCAGACCAGACCTTGTTGTCATAATTCAGACCTGGTTATCATAGTCCATACCTTGTTATTATAGTCCAGACATAGTTATGATAGTGCAGACCTGGGTATTATAGTCCAGACCTGGTTATCATAGTCCAGACCTAGCTGTCATAGTCCGGACCTGGTTATCATAGTCCAGGCCTGATTATCATGGTCAAGGTCAACTTATCATAGACCAGACTTGATATCATGGTCCTTGCCTGGTTACTACAGTCTATGTTCGGTTATCGTAGTTCAGCCCTTGTTATCGCAGACCAGACCTTGTTGTCATAATTCAGACCTGGTTATCATAGTCCATACCTTGTTATTATAGTCCAGACATAGTTATGATAGTGCAGACCTGGGTATTATAGTCCAGACCTGGTTATCATAGTCCAGACCTAGTTGTCATAGTCCAGACCTGGTTATCATAGTCCAGACCTAGTTGTCATAATCCAGACCTGGTTATCATAGTCCAGAACTGGTTATCATAGTCCAGACCTGGTTGTCATAGTCCATACCTTGTTATCACAGTCCAGACCTAGTTATCATAGTCCAGAACTGGTTGTCGTAGTCTTCGTCTTTTTTGGTGGTTTATATAAAGATACACATGGAATTTGATTTTCAATAATTATCTCCCTTAGCTCCTTACTGAGGGTACTGAGCAGTATCAGCCTTTAATGGAGGATAGCACAGACTTATCAATGGAGATGTTACTGGACACATTGCATGGAAAGGAGGCTCTAGAGGAGGGAGACCTACTGGACCTCCTGACCATGATCAGTCCCCTCAACACACAGGACCGTGTCCAAGTGGACAAGGTGTGGCTACTTAGCTCAGAAGAAAGGTAAAGACCACAATATTGACTTTCAAGATAAGGACCACAATATTGACTTTCAAGATAAGGACCTCAATGTTGACTTACAAGAAAAGGACCACAATGTTGACTTATAAGATAAGGACCACAATGTTGACTTATAAGATAGGAACCACAATGTTGACTTACAAGAAAAGGACCTCAATGTTGACTTACAAGAAAAGGACCACAATGTTGACTTACAAGAAAAGGACCACAATGTTGACTTATAAGTTAGAACCACAATGTTGACTTACAAGAAAAGGACCACAATGTTGACTTACAAGAAAAGGACCACAATGTTGACTTACAAGAAAAGGACCACAATGTTGACTTACAAGAAAAGGACCACAATGTTGACTTACAAGAAAAGGACCACAATGTTGACTTACAAGAAAAGGACCACAATGTTGACTTACAAGAAAAGGACCACAATGTTGACTTATAAGATAAGGACCACAATGTTGACTTACAAGATAAGGACCACAATGTTGACTTACAAGAAAAGGACCACAATGTTGTCTTATAAGAAAAGGACCACAGTGTTGACTTACAAGAAAAGGACCACAGTGTTGACTTACAATAAAAGGACCACAGTGTTGACTTACAAGAAAAGGACCACAATGTTGACTTACAAGAAAAGGACCACAATGTTGACTTATAAGATAAGAACCACAATGTTGACTTACAAGAAAAGGACCACAGTGTTGACTTACAAGAAAAGGACCACAGTGTTGACTTACAAGAAAAGGACCACAGTGTTGACTTACAAGAAAAGGACCACAATGTTGACTTATAAGATAGGAACCACAATGTTGACTTACAAGAAAAGGACCTCAATGTTGACTTACAAGAAAAGGACCACAATGTTGACTTACAAGAAAAGGACCACAATGTTGACTTATAAGTTAGAACCACAATGTTGACTTACAAGAAAAGGACCACAATGTTGACTTACAAGAAAAGGACCACAATGTTGACTTACAAGAAAAGGACCACAATGTTGACTTACAAGAAAAGGACCACAATGTTGACTTACAAGAAAAGGACCACAATGTTGACTTATAAGATAAGGACCACAATGTTGACTTACAAGATAAGGACCACAATGTTGACTTACAAGAAAAGGACCACAATGTTGTCTTATAAGAAAAGGACCACAGTGTTGACTTACAAGAAAAGGACCACAGTGTTGACTTACAATAAAAGGACCACAGTGTTGACTTACAAGAAAAGGACCACAATGTTGACTTACAAGAAAAGGACCACAATGTTGACTTATAAGATAAGGACCACAATGTTGACTTACAAGAAAAGGACCACAGTGTTGACTTACAAGAAAAGGACCACAGTGTTGACTTACAAGAAAAGGACCACAGTGTTGACTTACAAGAAAAGGACCACAATGTTGACTTACAAGAAAAGGACCACAATGTTGACTTATAAGAAAAGGACCACAATGTTGACTTACAAGAAAAGGACCACAATGTTGACTTATAAGATAAGGACCACAATGTTGACTTATAAGATAAGGACCACAATGTTGACTTACAAGAAAAGGACCACAGTGTTGACTTACAAGAAAAGGACCACAGTGTTGACTTACAAGAAAAGGACCACAGTGTTGACTTACAAGAAAAGGACCACAATGTTGACTTACAAGAAAAGGACCACAATGTTGACTTACAAGAAAAGGACCACAATGTTGACTTACAAGAAAAGGACCACAATGTTGACTTACAAGAAAAGGACCACAATGTTGACTTACAAGAAAAGGACCACAATGTTGACTTACAAGAAAAGGACCACAATGTTGACTTACAAGAAAAGGACCACAATGTTGACTTACAAGAAAAGGACCACAATGTTGACTTACAAGAAAAGGACCACAATGTTGACTTATAAGATAAGGACCACAATGTTGACTTATAAGATAAGAACCACAATGTTGACTTACAAGAAAAGGACCACAGTGTTGACTTACAAGAAAAGGACCACAGTGTTGACTTACAAGAAAAGGACCACAATGCTGACCTACAAGAAAAGGACCACAATGTTGACTTATAAGATAAGGACCACAATGTTGACTTACAAGAAAAGGACCACAATGTTGACTTATAAGATAAGGACCACAATGTTGACTTACAAGAAAAGGACCACAATGTTGACTTACAAGAAAAGGACCACAATGTTGACTTACAAGAAAAGGACCACAATGTTGACTTATAAGATAAGGACCACAATGTTGACTTACAAGAAAAGGACCACAGTGTTGACTTATAAGAAAAGGACCACAATGTTGACTTACAAGAAAAGGACCACAATGTTGACTTATAAGATAAGGACCACAATGTTGACTTACAAGATAAGGACCACAATGTTGACTTACAAGAAAAGGACCACAATGTTGTCTTATAAGATAAGGACCACAATGTTGACTTACAAGATAAGAACCACAATGTTCTCTATTCTCAGTATTAAGATGGCTTTGCTTATTATTTTTTCCAATCATGTTTTATAAAAGATTAACTCTTGGAATCTGAGGAGATAAAATTAAATATTTTTCAAGCCCTTTAAATACCTGTATTTTAAATCTTTGCAGGGAGAAGTCCAGTAGCAAATCCTTGTTTTCCAGTCATTCAGTTGATCAACTGACAGAGCTGGAATGTAGTAACAGCCATGAACAGAACATGGGCGGTCCTAAAACATGGCATAATAGCAATCAAAACCAAACACCAGACAGAACAAATGAGGATAGTGGTGATACTACCTCAGTTAGTTACAATAAAACACAACTTCATGAAAGTTTTGGAGATTTCAATGATAAAAGGCATTTGTTTCATTGTGATCAAAAGGATTCTCAAAGTAGTCAAATAATGGAGAAGGATATAGAGAAAAACAGGGATTCTGATAATGCAGAGAGTCTGAAGTCATCTGGAGATTCAGTGTCCATCTTGAGAAATAAACAACAAAGAACCAAGACTCGAAAAGATCCAGAGGATGATAGGTAATCAGACTAAATGACTAGGTCCACATCTCGATGTTTATGTGTTGTGCACACAATATCATATCATGCGTGTGTGCCCACAACGTTTTTGGTGCGTTGTGTCTTACCACAACTGTATTATAGTATGGTATTGTCCATGCAACCATCTGTCATTTTTTTGGAGATCTCCTCCCACAGTTTTTGACAGACATTTTTCAAACTTGGATGGGAAAATCATCATTACATGAAGCTGTGTTTTCCCCTTGTTGTTTTCATAATGTTAATCTTGTCCGCAGGTCTTCTTTCCTAAGTTTTCAACTGGTTTCTTTCAAATTAGGTAGGCTTACCTTGTAATCACCATGACATGAAATTTAGTTTTCCTGCATGACAGTTTGATTTGGCTGTACTTGAAAGAGTTATTGCCCTTTGTTGTTTTCATTATGTTAATCTTGGAGATCTCTTTCTATTTTCAACCAATCTCTTTTGGCCTTTATAGGCTGTTTGACTATAACATGAAATTGTAGTTTCCTACACAGTACTTCAGTTTTAGAATGAATTATTGCCCTTTGACTTTTTAGCATTCTTAGTTTGTCTGCAGACCTTTTCCAGTTTTTCAGCAATCTATTCTTGTTACTTGATTTTAATATCTATTCTTGTGAATAAAACTAATGATCTATTCTTTTGACTTAAATTTAATTTAAACTTAATTGAAAGATATACACTAGTTTTTGCATTTTGTTCTTAAACATAAATGACTTAATTGAGAGATAAAGTTTGGACTTGTAGGTCCAAGGATTTACTAAGAACTACAAACATTGTCCTTGGAGCTCTAGAGAAAAATGTTTGTGGCAATTGGGGTTTGTTAAGAGTGTTATGAGGTCAAGTTAAATCCTGGAATCTGTATTTATACATCTTTACCTTAGTACAACACACATATAAACGATAACATAATTACCTAAAAGACTCTGATAACACTGTCTTCGACCTTTGGATATTAGTATAGAATGTATAGATCTATAAGTCATATATAAACTAATGATTGAAGATACAGAAATTAACACCTCATAAATAAGATAATCATTGACAGTTATACTGGAGTAGTATTCTGTGTTTTGTTCCTTTTAACTAGTTTACAGACTGATCAGCACACTTCCCATTTGTCAGCAATCTTAAGCAGAATTCAATGAATTACATGATCTATATATATATCTTCAAATATAAAGGTGGAATTTGATGTTTTGTTTGAAGTTTTAAAAGAGGGGAAGAGCCAACACAGGTGTAGTAGTATATAGGTAGATTCCTTCAGTGTAGTATATAGGTAGATTCCTTCAGTGTAGTATATAGGTACACTCCTTCGTTGTAGTATATAGGAAGATTCCTTCGGTGTAGTATATAGGTAGACTCCTTCGATGTAGTATATAGGTAGACTCCTTTGGTGTAGTATATAGGTACACTCCTTCAGTGTAGTATATAGGTGGATTCCTTCGGTGTAGTATATAGGTACACTCCTTCGATGTAGTATATAGGTAGATTCCTTCAGTGTAGTATATAGGTAGACTCCTTCAGTGTAGTATATAGGTACACTCCTTCGTTGTAGTATATAGGTAGATTCCTTCGGTGTAGTACTCCTTCGGTGTAGTATATAGGTACACTCCTTCAGTGAGGTATATAGGTAGACTCCTTCAGTGTAGTGTATAGGTACACTCCTTCAGTGTAGTATATAGGTACACTCCTTCGGTGTAGTATATAGGTACACTCCTTCAGTGTAGTATATATGTACACTCCTTCAGTGTAGTGTATAGGTACACTCCTTCAGTGTAGTACTCCTTCGGTGTAGTATATAGGTACACTCCTTCGTTGTAGTATATAGGTACACTCCTTCAGTGTAGTGTATAGGTACACTCCTTCAGTGTAGTACTCCTTCGATGTAGTATATAGGTACACTCCTTCGTTGTAGTATATAGGTACACTCCTTCAGTGTAGTACTCCTTCGGTGTAGTATATATGTACACTCCTTCGGTGTAGTATATAGGTACACTCCTTCACTGTAGTACTCCTTCGGTGTAGTATATAGGTACACTCCTTCAGTGGAGTATATAGGTACACTCCTTCAGTGTAGTGTATATGTACACTCCTTCAGTGTAGTATATAGGTACACTCCTTCGGTGTAGTGTATAGGTACACACCTTCAGTGTAGTGTATAGGTACACTCCTTCAGTGGAGTATATAGGTACACTCCTTCAGTGTAGTGTATATGTACAATCCTTCAGTGTAGTACTCCTTCGGTGTAGTATATAGGTACACTCCTTCAGTGGAGTATATAGGTACACTCCTTCAGTGTAGTGTATAGGTACACTCCTTCAGTGTAGTACTCCTTCGGTGTAGTATATAGGTACACTCCTTCGTTGTAGTATATAGGTACACTATAGGTACACTCCTTCGTGTAGTATATATGTATATAGGTACACTCCTATCCTTCAGTGTATATAGGTACACTCCTTCATGTAGTGTATATGTACACTCCTTCGTACACTCCTTCAGTGTAGTGTATAGGTACACTCCTTCAGTGTAGTACTCCTTCGATGTCGTAGATAGGTACACTCCTTCGTTGTAGTATATAGGTACACTCCTTCAGTGTAGTACTCACTCCTTCCGTGTAGTATATAGGTACACTCTTCATGTACACTCCTTCGGTGTAGTATATAGGTACACTCCTTCACTGTAGTACTCCTTCGGTGTAGTATATAGGTACACTCCTTCAGTGGAGTATATAGGTACACTCCTTCAGTGTAGTATATAGGTACACTCCTTCACTGTAGTACTCCTTCGGTGTAGTATATAGGTACACTCCTTCGTTGTAGTGTATAGGTACACTCCTTCAGTGTAGTACTCCTTCGGTGTAGTATATATGTACACTCCTTCGGTGTAGTATATAGGTACACTCCTTCACTGTAGTACTCCTTCGGTGTAGTATATAGGTACACTCCTTCGTTGTAGTGTATAGGTACACTCCTTCAGTGTAGTACTCCTTCGTATATAGGTACACTCCTTCAGTGTAGTATATAGGTACACTCCTTTTGTGTAGTATATAGGTACACTCCTTCACTGTAGTACTCCTTCGGTGTAGTATATAGGTACACTCCTTCAGTGGAGTATATAGGTACACTCCTTCAGTGTAGTATATAGGTACACTACTTCGGTGTAGTATATAGGTACACTCCTTCCGTGTAGTATATAGGTACACTCTTCAGTGTAGTATATATGTACACTCCTTCGGTGTAGTATATAGGTACACTCCTTCACTGTAATACTCCTTCGGTGTAGTATATAGGTACACTCCTTCAGTGGAGTATATAGGTACACTCCTTCAGTGTAGTGTGTAGGTACACTCCTTCGGTGTAGTATATAGGTACACACCTTCGGTGTAGTATATAGGTACACTCCTTCGGTGTAGTATATAGGTACACTCCTTCCGTGTAGTATATAGGTACACTCTTCAGTGTAGTATATAGGTACACTCCTTCAGTGTAGTATATAGGTACACTCCTTCAGTGAGGTATATAGGTAGACTCCTTCAATGTAGTTTATAGGTACACTCCTTCGGTGTAGTGTATAGGTACACTCCTTCGGTGTAGTGTATAGGTACACACCTTCAGTGTAGTGTATATGTACACTCCTTCAGTGTAGTGTATAGGTACACACCTTCAATGTAGTATATAGGTACACTCCTTCAGTGTAGTATATAGGTACACTTCTTTGGTGTAGTATATAGGTACACTCCTTCAGTGTAGTATATAGGTACACTCCTTCAGTGTAGTATATAGGTACACTCCTTCGGTGTAGTGTATAGGTACACACCTTCAGTGTAGTGTATATGTACACTCCTTCAGTGTAGTGTATAGGTACACACCTTCAATGTAGTATATAGGTACACTCCTTCAGTGTAGTATATAGGTACACTTCTTTGGTGTAGTATATAGGTACACTCCTTCAGTGTAGTATATAGGTACACTCCTTCAGTGTAGTATATAGGTACACTCCTTCGGTGTAGTGTACCATTTAACCGTTTTAAAATCATAATTTCTATTATCAGGGCTCTCGATCTGCCAGATTTGGGGCAGATTCCCAATGCAAAATAGTATTTTTGTTCCCCAATTTAGACCCCACGTTTTCCCAATTCTACGGAAAACGCCACTATTTTTCCCAATTCTAAGGGCCCTGGGTCCCAGTCCGAAGACAAGCGTCTATTCATCCTACGGAAAGTCTGTGCTCGGCCATACAATAGATTCACTAGATAATCCATATGATAAATATAGGATGAAATATGGTGCAGAGTTTGTGTCATTCTCCAAATATCCAAGTAACTGAAACAGTTACATATATATAATAGGTATAAACACATATACAGTTAGATATATATATATAATAGGTTTAAACACATATACAGTTATATATATAGGTTTAAACACTGATACAGTTATATATATATATAATAGGTTTAAACACTGATACAGTTATATATATATATAATAGGTTTAAACACTGATACAGTTATATATATATATATATCTAATAGGTATAAACATTTATACATTTATATATATATAATAGGTTTAAACACTGATACAGTTTTATATATATAATAGGTTTAAATACTGATAGTTATATATATATATATAATAGGTTTAAATACTGAAGCAGTTATATATATATATATATATAAAAAAAGATAAAAACTTTGTGTATCGTATATACAGAGAAAATTAATCACTTAACATGACAAACAAATATATCACTAACGTTTTCAGGCCTCGCGGCCATCTTCAGGTGATTACATTACATGTACACTGTACGTTACTTAGTAACCTACATTGTGACGTAATGTTATTGTTATAATAAAAGGGGAGTTAATAATGTTATTAATTGTGTCCCGACACAATCTTTAGTGTGTATTTAGGGACGGTTTAAAAATCTTCTTTGATGATTTGTTTTGACGTTGTAGATTCTGACATCTTGTAGTTTGAGACATGAAGACAGCGTTTTTAGCACTAAGTGAGCTAGTGGGATTCCATGGTGTCTGTCGTCCATCTGTCCAGCATGTCAACTTTTTCTATAGATAGCTACTTGTCATTAACAAACGAACAGATTTTAACTAAATTTGGTCAGCAACACTCTATGATGCCCGCAGGACCAACTGAGCTATAAGTATACTGCGGCATCTGTTGTCCATCCATTGTCTGTCGTCTGTCTACTTTTCCTACAAAATACTACAAGTCATGCACAACAGAGGGGATTTCGACTAAATCTGGTCAAAAGCATCCTTAGGGGAAGGGAACATTTTTTTGTATAAATGATGTGTTCCTGCACACCAGGGCCCAATGGGCGGGGCAGGAAATGGGAAAGGAGGAGTGCCAGTTTGGGCCTTCTGGTGGCCATGACGAATACTTTTTATTTTTTGTCTATTAAAAACTTGAGGTCAGGCGGTAATGACATGACATTAATCTAAGGTCAGCTCAAGGCTGGTCAGTTGTTATAGTGGGGACAAGTGGGGGATCAAATTCATAATTATTGCAATAATTATCAAACTAAAATTTTTTTTTTTCCAATTTTTTTTTCTCTTAAATGTCATTTGATGATATATCTCAAAACCTTCATTGGAAAAAATGACCAAAAAATATGCCATTGTTGAAAAGTAGGTCATGGTAATTAAGTGCCCTAATCACTAATAAACGCAATTATGATGTAGAATTGGCCCTTGGGTAGGCATAGCTTCTGGGTAATGTCTTTGCAACAGTTGAGATCCTCAACCCATAACCATAGATAACAGCTGGGCATCAAACGATAAACATAATTATGATGTGAAAATAGAAGAAATAGAACAAATTTTAAAAAATTCAATTGCTCTTGTAGAAATGTTTGGATTTGCTTAACTTAGATCTGAAGTATCCTTTGGTGAAGAGGAATTAGGTTTTGTATAAACAGTGCATCTGATCTCTTTGGGAAGGAGGGACAGTAAGAAATGTAGGTATTTAAATTCCTTTACTTTAGTTTGAATTAAACAATTTTAGCAAATTAAACCAGGTGAGTGGTACATGCCCTATGGGCCTCTTGTTCCTATTGAGTAAATGAATGAGACACATTCAAAATAATGGTGATATATAGAAAGATTTTCCCTTACATTGAGGCTTGGTAAGGGAAACAATCTGGCTGGACATCCACCTGGTGACTTCCCAGATCAGGTACACAATGTGACCAGCAGCTCTCCCTACAACACCAGCTCAGACAGACAAGTGATGTTTGGCATTGATATAGAGGTAAGATAGCAATTCTCTACAGAATGATGATTAAGGTTTTGTAAATCCTTGTGTGAAAGTTAAATAATCGTAAACTTGTATGTGAAGATACAGAATCAAGTTAAAGAAGTGCCATACATCTTTTCATCATTATGGTTAAACAATGCAAAGTTCACACAGGTGTGGTGATACTGTGACGGCCAGGTTTGGTGATACTGTGACGGCCAGGTGTGGTGATACTGTGACGGCCAGGTGTGGTGATACAGTGACGGTCAGGTGTTGTGATACTGTGACGGCCAGGTGTGGTGATACTGTGACGGCCAGGTGTGGTGATACTGTGAGGGCCAGGTGTTGTGATACTGTGAGGGCCAGGTGTGGTGATACTGTGAGGGCCAGGTGTGGTGATACTGTGAGGGCCAGGTTTGGTGATAATGTGACGGCCAGGTGTGGTGATACTGTGACGGCCAGGTTTGGTGATAATGTGACGGCCAGGTGTTGTGATACTGTGACGGCCAGGTGTTGTGATACTGTGACGGCTACTTGTGGTGATACTGTGACGGCCAGGTGTTGTGATACTGTGACGGCCAGGTGTTGTGATACTGTGACGGCCAGGTGTGGATATTGTGACGACCAGGTGTTGTGATACTGTGAGGGCCAGGTGTGGTGATACTGTGACAGCCAGGTGTGGTGATACTGTGACGGCCAGGTTTGGTGATACAGTGACGGCCAGGTGTTGTGTTACTGTGACGGCCAGGTGTTGTGTTACTGTGAGGGCCAGGTTTGGTGATAATGTGACGGCCAGGTGTTGTGATACTGTGACGGCCAGATGTTGTGATACTGTGACGGCTACTTGTGGTGATACTGTGACGGCCAGGTGTTGTGATACTGTGACGGCCAGGTGTGGTGATACTGTGACGGCCAGGTGTTGTGATACTGTGACGGCCAGGTGTGGATATTGTGACGACCAGGTGTTGTGATACTGTGAGGGCCAGGTGTGATGATACAGTGACGGCCAGGTGTGGTGATACTGTGACAGCCAGGTGTGATGATACTGTGACGGCCAGGTTTGGTGATACAGTGACGGCCAGGTGTTGTGTTACTGTGACGGCCAGGTGTGGATATTGTGACGACCAGGTGTTGTGATACTGTGACGGCCAAGTGTGGTGATACTGTGACGGCCAGGTGTGGTGATACTGTGACGGCCAGGTGTAGTGATACTGTGACGGCCATGTGTGGTGATACTGTGACGGTCAGATGTGGTGATACTGTGACGGCCAGGTGTGGTGATACTGTGACAACCAGGTGTGGTGATACTGTGACGGCCAGGTGTTGTGATACTGTGACGGCCAGGTGTGGTGATACTGTTACGGCCAAGTGTGGATACTGTGATGACCAGGTGTGGTGATACTGTGACGGCCAGGTGTGGTGATACTGTGACGGCCAGGTGTTGTGATACTGTGACGGCCAGGTGTGGTGATACTGTGACGGCCAAGTGTGGATACTGTGATGACCATGGGTTCTCCCCACTTATTTATGTAGATAAGTGTTAATTGCCAACATGTTGCCTTGTATCTAGTTTCATGAAATGTTACTGTAGCAGAAACTTCTCCTTTATGTTACTGAAGATTCTTCAGAATCTGTTTGTTAATGGGTAATTTGATAAAAGACAGCTTGAGAAACAAGATAATATATTTGTGTATACTTCAGTTCTCCTGTATACTGTAGCCTGTATGTTGTAACCTCACTCCTTTTGCTGGGATTGAAGATACAAACACATTCATGCTATTTAGACTGAAACAGAGTCTGACCTCTGACCCTACTTCTGGGGATAATTCAGAATTTTCAAGTGAGAATATTTTGGGGTCATTTTGTGAATATACAGTGATATAGCCCAATGGACCTTTCTTTAATAGGTTTGTCACTATACCTGTGATCACAATGTATCACAGCCAATAATTCTACTTACAATGTATTTCTCTTTCAGAATGTGAAACAGGAAAATAATGCAATGGATAAAGGGTCCAGCTTACCTTTTGGTAAGAAATTTTAAAAGACATGTCCTAAACTATTCTATCAGTTGTGTTTGTACTCAACATTTCTACATTTACTGACAATAGTAGTCCTAAACTATTCTATCAGTTGTGTTTGTACTCAACATTTCTACATTTACTGACAATAGTAGTCCTAAACTATTCCATCAGTTGTGTTTGTACTCAATATTTCTACATTTACTGACAATAGTAGTCCTACACTATTCCATCAGTTGTGTTTGTACTCAATATTTCTACATTTACTGACAATAGTAGTCCTAAACTATTCCATCAGTTGTGTTTGTACTCAATATTTCTACATTTACTGACAATAGTAGTCCTAAACTATGACATCAGTTGTGTTTGTACTCAATATTTCTACATTTACTGACAATAGTAGTCCTACACTATTACATCAGTTGTGTTTGTACTCAATATTTCTACATTTACTGACAATAGTAGTCCTAAACTATTACATCAGTTGTGTTTGTACTCAATATTTCTACATTTACTGACAATAGTAGTCCTACACTATTACATCAGTTGTGTTTGTACTCAATATTTCTACATTTACTGACAATAGTAGTCCTAAACTATTCCATCAGTTGTGTTTGTACTCAATATTTCTACATTTACTGACAATAGTAGTCCTACACTATTCCATCAGTTGTGTTTGTACTCAATATTTCTACATTTACTGACAATAGTAGTCCTACACTATTCCATCAGTTGTGTTTGTACTCAATATTTCTACATTTACTGACAATAGTAGTCCTACACTATTACATCAGTTGTGTTTGTACTCAATATTTCTACATTTACTGACAATAGTAGTCCTACACTATTACATCAGTTGTGTTTGTACTCAATATTTCTACATTTACTGACAATAGTAGTCCTACACTATTACATCAGTTGTGTTTGTACTCAATATTTCTACATTTACTGACAATAAACTATAGAGATAGGTGAGGAATGATTAAATGTAAAGTTAGATTTTGTAAATTACCTTTAGGATCTGAACTGGTATGTGGAGATGAGGATAAAAGGACTTTGGATCAACAACTTTGTTCAGATGGTACAAAATCCCAGGTAACCAACATTGTCTAGTGATACTAATCTCTGTAATCTGTTATCATTTCTCAATTGGTCACATCAGCTGTTAACATGATAGATAGAACTGGTCAACATTGTGCTTTTAATGTGTAATGTATAGACAATATCATTTGGTGTACACAGTACACACCTTTTTATTATGGGGTATGCAAAAGTAAATTGAAGCTCAACATCAATGAAACTAGGCCAGAATATGGTCAAAGATTTGCACAGCAATCCTTATGAATAAGACAATGTGTTCCAAAAGGGTTAGCATTTTTTGCTATCGAACGACACCTTCCTGTAAAAGTTTTCGTTTTGATGATTTTGTCTACAGTTTCTCAGTAATAATATCCTTATATAATGTTGAGAATATATATAGTAACTCTACTCTAATCCATCCAATCTCATGCTTGGCACCGTACATATGATTTTGTTTTAATGATGTGCTAATATTAAAACTGTTCTATTGTTGTTTTATATTTGTAATATTTAAGTAAAATTGTTCTACAGATATCAGTATTGTGTGTCCAGTAGCTTGTGTTTATCTCAACAGAGAACATTTATCCAAGCCACAACAAAGTCTTTTAAATTCATTTCTTTCTTTTTTTCAGGAAGTAGAAGATCTAGGAGAGTCTTGTCTAAATCACAGTGAGTGGTAGCATGGTGTTTATAAGGAGCTGATAACAATATATACAATCTATTATAAGTAATCTCATCAATTGAAATGTAACTTGTTTATGTTCAAGAGTGATCTCATTACAGTAGAGGATGACATGATACAGAATGTTAAGTGAAGTAAACAAGTATTTAACAAGTTACAGATTCAATTTCTCAGAAGTAGTTATTCATTTGATTAACTTGATTGTGTTCAAGAGTGATCTCATTACAGTAGAGAATGACATTTAACAAAATGTTAAGTGAAGTAAACAAGTATTTAACAAGTTATAGATTCTATTTCTCAGAAGTAGTTATTCCTTTGATTAACTTTTTTGTCACCAAATTACTCAGTTAAGGTGAGATTACATGTTAATCGCCTTTAGGTTCTTATCTATCTGGTAAACTAGTATTTAACATGTACCTCTATTTTGGTATCAGAAAGATATTGGATTTTACATTACTTTAGATATTTGCATCAAGTGTTACATGAAGGGACCAGAGATTAGGCAAGATGAACAAATCTTGGATGGTGCGAGATTTCCAATTCCCATGTTAGAGAAAATCTAACCTTGCATATTTAAGATAGGCAGACAAGCTTTATGATGAAAATTTATAATAGTTTTTAAAGAACATTGCTGTTTTAAAACTTCTACTACTATGTATGATGGAGTGACCAAGATGTCTCCTTATTCTTTATTATGTACAGCCCAAATGGTTTCAGTATCCAACAGGCCATTAATCATACTAGATCATCACATCCAATGTAATGAAGAAAAAAATGAAATCTTGAAGAACAAGTTATTAAACATGTACTGTGATAGTGAGTGTTGTTATACCCACAAGTTGGTGAATATTTGGTACAGGTACAGCGGTAAAATCTGATCCTGATGTGGATATACTAGAGCCATGGCTTTCCTTCTCTGACTCACCAACAAGCCTGACGAGGTGCAGTAGTGTCTCAGACATAGACCAAATCAGTGATGAGGACAATGTTGTTATACCGCCATCCAGAATGGAGGATGTTGAAGTATGTTCAATGAGTGATGTCTTATATAGGGCTTTTTAAGTCCTCCAAAGGGAACCAGAGGGGATTAAGGTTTAGCATTGTGTCTGTCTGCCTGTCCGTCCATCCTTCTGCCTTCATGTCTGACCCTTATCTTCCACAAAACTTATCACTGGAACTTAATACTTGGGGTATGAATACAACTAGGTAAGATGGTGTGTCTTGTATCAAAGTAGGTTAAGTCACTCTGACCTATATTTGACCTTTGACCTACATCAAAGAAAAGTTTATCCAGGCCCTATCTTTGACCACTACTAATCATGTGATTCTAACACTTTGGATATGGGATTATGTTGGTAAAATAATGTGTCACATATATATATAAGTAGTGGAATGTGATTCACCAAATAATCGTGTTTTAATTTTTTAGGTCGTCTGACCCTAAGGGTCTGATGACCTAATGCAATCGTCTTTTGTCTGGCGTAAACAATTTACATTTTCAACTTCTTCTCAAGTTATACATGTCTCACTGAGCTGAATCTTACCTGAAATGATCGTGAAATGGTCCTGACCAAAGTTTGTTAATTTTGGGTTGGTCCAAAATCCAAGATGGCAGCCATGGCCGCCGTTTTGAAAATACATTGAAATCACATTTTCAACTTCTTCTCAAGTTCTACTAGTGACATTGAGCTTAAACTTACCTGAAATGATCGTGACATGGTCCTGACCAAAGTGTGTTAATTTCCGGTTGGTCCAAAATCCAAGATGGCCGCCATCTTGAAAACTCATTTTCAACTTCTTCTCAAGTACCACCAGTGCGATTGAGCCAAAACTTGCATGAAATGATCATGACATTGCACTGACCAAAGTTTGCTAATTTTGGGTCAGTCCAAAATCCAAGATGGCTGCCATCTTGAAAACACATTTTCAACTTCTTCTCAAGTTCCACCAGTGCGATTGAGCCACACCCCATACTTTTGTATGGAAAAGAAGATGGGTGCCTTATTTAAACCCCAGAATCATTCCTTGCCTCAATGATCTGACGTCCAGAAGATTTGTCAGCCTTCTAACCAAAGGCTCTGTTCCGGAGAATCCTCTTTGTTGAAACAAATGACCTTGATCCCTTTTCAGGGAATATATATAATGTTTATATACACTGTATCACAATACTGGTATTGTCTTATGTCAACATTAAAGGGAAAGCGACATCTGTAGAGGAGACCAAATTTTGTTTACATGTTTGGTGTGTAGACTTTAGAAGGTTCTGATATCAATGTGACATCCTTCTTGTTACAGTTCTGGGATATTTTCTCCAGTGATAAAAACAATTCTACCACTGCAGAACCATTAGCAGTTCCAGCTATTGCAGCCCATGCAAAACACCCAGATATGAAACTCTGTGTAGTGAAACTTTTCAGAAATCAGGTGGGTGATGTTCTATTTTCCTTTGTTGATTAACAGTGATGGTGCTGTATTTGACTCCTTACAAAATATTTACCAATACTCGATGTTATGTGCTTTTTTTGTTTTACATTTGAATCCTAGGACCATATGGCTGATCATTGACATTGAATAAAATCTCTACAGAAATAAAACTTTGATATAATGAGCACAAAATGATACTTAAGTTATTGGATTTGTAATCAGGTTATTTATTACTTGAGATGTTGAAACATAATATTTACATCAGTCATACAGAAGCATGGTGAAGTGGAGTGATGTCAGGGCCCATGACCTCTCCGTACCGAGTTATTGCCCTTTGTTTAACATTTCACACAAGCCATGACTGTATGATATGTTCCAAAGCCATCTACTTGATTAGGTGGTATTATTTTTCCCAGTTGTTTACATTGGGATGACAGATATATACTTTATCTCATGGTGTTTTATATTACAGGTATATACACACCATTTCACTGTATTTGACAAATTTTATACACACCATTTATCTCACTGGTTTTTAATTATAGTACATATACACACCATTTATCTCATGGTGCTTTGTATTATAGTGGTGTATACACACCATTTATCTCATGGTGCTTTGTATTATAGTAGTATATACACACCATTTATCTCATGGTGCTTTGTATTATAGTGGTGTATACACACCATTTATCTCATGGTGCTTTGTATTATAGTGTGTTTTATATTACAGTAGTATATACACACCATTTATCGCATGGTGTTTTATATTACAGTAGTATATACACACCATTTATCTCGTGGTGCTTTGTATTATATAGGTGTATACACACCATTTATCTCGTGGTGTTTTATATTACAGTAGTATATACACACCATTTATCTCATGGTGCTTTGTATTATAGTGGTGTATACACACCATTTATCTCGTGGTGCTTTGTATTATAGTGGTGTATACACACCATTTATCTCATGGTGCTTTGTATTATAGTGGTGTATACACACCATTTATCTCATGGTGCTTTGTATTATAGTGGTGTATACACACCATTTATCTCGTGGTGCTTTGTATTATAGTGGTGTATACACACCATTTATCTCGTGGTGTTTTATATTACAGTAGTATATACACACCATTTATCTCATGGTGTTTTATATTACAGTAGTATATACACACCATTTATCTCGTGGTGTTTTATATTACAGTAGTATATACACACCATTTATCTCATGGTGTTTTATATTACAGTAGTATATACACACCATTTATCTCATGGTGCTTTGTATTATAGTGGTGTATACACACCATTTATCTCATGGTGCTTTGTATTATATATACACACCATATATATACACACACCATTTATCTCATGGTGTTTTATATTATTATATACACACCATAGTATATACACACCATTTATCTCATGGTGTTTTATATTACAGTAGTATATACACACCATTTATCTCATGGTGCTTTGTATTATAGTGGTGTATACACACCATTTATCGCATGGTGTTTTATATTACAGTAGTATATACACACCATTTATCTCATGGTGCTTTGTATTATAGTGGTGTATACACACCATTTATCTCATGGTGTTTTATATTACAGTAGTATATACACACCATTTATCTCATGGTGTTTTATATTACAGTAGTATATACACACCATTTATCTCATGGTGCTTTGTATTATAGTGGTGTATACACACCATTTATCTCGTGGTGTTTTCATATTACAGTAGTATATACACACCATTTATCTCGTGGTGCTTTGTATTATAGTGGTGTATACACACCATTTATCTCGTGGTATTTTATATTACACACCATTTATCTCATGGTGTTTTATATTACAGTAGTATATACACACCATTTATCTCATGGTGCTTTGTATTATAGTGGTGTATACACACCATTTATCTCATGGTGTTTTATATTACAGTAGTATATACACACCATTTATCTCATGGTGTTTTATATTACAGTAGTATATACACACCATTTATCTCATGGTGCTTTGTATTATAGTGGTGTATACACACCATTTATCTCATGGTGTTTTATATTACAGTAGTATATACACACCATTTATCGCATGGTGTTTTATATTACAGTAGTATAAACACACCATTTATCTCATGGTGCTTTGTATTATAGTGGTGTATACACACCATTTATCTCGTGGTGTTTTATATTACAGTAGTATATACACACCATTTATCTCATGGTGTTTTATATTAGTATATACACACCATTTATCTCATGGTGTTTTATATTATACACACCATAGTGTATACACACCATTTATCTCATGGTGTTTTATATTACAGTAGTATATACACACCATTTATCTCATGGTGTTTTATATTACAGTAGTATATACACACCATTTATCTCATGGTGTTTTATATTACAGTAGTGTATACACACCATTTATCTCATGGTATTTTATATTACAGTAGTATATACACACCATTTATCTCATGGTGCTTTGTATTATAGTGGTGTATACACACCATTTATCTCATGGTATTTTATATTACAGTAGTATATACACAC